ACCAACGTTTCAGAGGTCATACTGCCTCCGTCATCAGGGCGATTTTTAGTATGAAGATTTCTGTCTTCTGGGTTGTTGCGCTGTGTAGTCTGGTCGATGTTAACCAACGTTTCAGAGGTCATACTGCCTCCATCATCAGAAGACAGAAATCTTCATACTCACTGCTGTGAAAACCTCAAATCATACACGAGCTCAACATGTCAACGAAACGTCGATTTCACTTTGCAGTTGGCACGAAATGGGAACTTACGACGTTCCTGCGGAAATCGACTTCATTCTAAAGAAGACCGGCCAGGAGAAAGTCTTCTACATCGGACACTCCATGGGCTCGACCATGTTCTTCGTGATGACGTCACAAAGACCGGAATACAACGAGAAGATAAGGGCCATGATTGCTTTCGCCCCAGCAGTATTTTTCACACCCACGAAGAACCCAATTTATTACCGCATTCAATCAATCGGCGAACGATTACTGGAGGTAAAAGGAGTGACATTTAACGAAGTTTCGTGAATCTTCATTCAGACCAGAATTGTAACCTAATTATATCAAAACGTACATGAAAGAATAAAAAATGAAATAAGCATTTGATTAAATTTAGAAACGTCTTCACTCTACGGGTACAACTGTAGTGACGGCTTCTGTCCTAACAGTGAAAATGCACGTATAGAAACAGAGTTTTATGGACTTTAGATACATTCAGACTTTACAGCAGACATTCTCAGTCTTTTCTGACCCTGGGGTCAGATTCACCTTTCGTAAGTTTATGAAAGACAATTTACTGAAACACAATTGTAACTTACTAATTATACTACCAAATTAAGCTTGCCACTGCAAACAATTCACATACATGCCAATAATTCTCTTCAGAAAATTTGATGTTAGTGAAATATTTTAAACTGCTGTTGATGTAGCAATTTTCGTAATCGTTGCGAATAGCGAGAATTTCTCCACGTGTTCATCACCATAACTCGTCTTAGTTCCTGATTTGACGTCATTCGTTAAGCTGAACAGTTGCTCATGGAGACAGAGGCTGCCAAATTCTGACGACATTAACAAGACGCCATTCCTGAGATCAGACCACTATTTTTAATCGCACAGGGCGACACAGGGCATTGTAAATAAACCTAAGCAGGCAACAGAAAACATATCGGCGAGCCGAGACTGGAGAATCTCTACTTTAGAAATTTAATTTAAATGGCTGTATGTGCCATTAACACTATATAAAGAAACTAAAAAAATATGTAAGCTTTTACAGTTTACAGGGTTGTTTATATTATTAGTAGGCCTTGGGGTTTACTAAAATAAACGTTATTTAAAATGAATATATATATTTTTTACCGGACACTTTGTATATAAATCGTTTCTTTCAAATACTGATATAAGACATTAAAGTGTCTTTTTTCCATTAATAAATTATTGAAAATATAGCTCAGTCAGTATAGTGACTAGCTACGGGCTGGACGACCGGGGTTCGATCCCCGACGGGGGCAGAGGATTTTTCCTCTAGCCTCTGCGTCCAGACCGGCTCTGGGGCCCACCCAGCCTCCTCTACAATGGGTACCGGGGTCCTTTCCCGGGGGTAAAGCCGGCCGGGGCGTGATTCTGACCACTCACCCCCATCTAGTGCCGAGGTCAAGGAAGAGAGGAGCTATACCTCCACTCCCCCCAAGCGCCTACATGGCGGATAGTGGGACAAACTTTACTTTACTTTACTTACTATATAAAACATGATTCATATTCCTCTTCTTAATTTATTTGTGACAGATTTTTAAAACGCAACTTTATCTCTGACTGATGTACAAACAGCTCTGTTGAAAAATTACAAGTTCACCAAGTTCATAATATTTGTTGTTGATACGTTAAAAGAAATACATTTGCCTTCCATGCCTTCATTCCACTTTCAATTCAGAAAATTAAATTAATTTACGTGTATTTTCAACACATCTAGTAAGCCTAAGAATTAAAATCAAAAAAGTTTACTTACATTTTTTCAATACACTGACAAATACATTTGTTATAAAAAAAAATCATGCTGTTATTGTAACTCATTCAAATATTTTGCGATGTTTGTGACCTTTGTACTGATTTAGTGTTTAAATTGCACACATTCGGAGTTCCTTTAAAATGAGTGACGGTCAGACACAGAACATAAAATAATTTTTGCATACAACAGTTGTACAAGGCAAAGGTATAACTGTATATAATTATATAATTATGTGGATCTAGTTTATGGAAATATGCGTGTTTATCTCCTTATTTTAACGACCCCAAGATGTAGTCATGTACTCACAAAACTTGCATTAAGTAGGATTTGAGGTTTTCATGGAGATGAGTTTGAAGATGTCTTCTGGGTTGTTGCGCCATGTGGTCTGGTAGAAGTTTACTGATGTTTCAGAGGTTCTTGCTGTCTCCATTATCAGGGCGATCGCTCTGATGATTGAGGCAGCAAGGACCTCTCAAACTACACGTCGCAACAACCCAGAAGACAGCCATATTCAACTTGCATTTCAATTGTTGAAATTCCAATGCAATAATAGTATTGCGTGCTTGACACAGACTAATAATTATCCCGTTTAAATTTATAGTAGTCCAAAATCCTCTTAAGTGCTATGCTTTTTCTTCTCAGGGACTGTTCTATGCCTTTGGGCTCGACGAGTTTCTGCCCCAGAATGGAATACTAAATCCAATCAGCATTGCAGCCTGCAAGCACACGCTTTTCACAAGTAGATTGTGCGTGAACTTTATTTTTTTCATAGTTGGCAAGAGCAGTCAGCTGGACAAGGTATTTAAGGAGTTTTCTTTAGTATTTGAAGTGATCCTCGGCCACTTTGATCCACCACTAAACTTTACAAATATGTCTTCGTGTTATTCCCTTTTTGGTCCTCAAATTGCCGGAATTGAAAGGGCACTGCCCATCCTTTCGCTCTAAAGACTTAATTTCGCTTCATCCTATGAGTGATACTTGTTTCAGGTTAAATATTATCAGGCTGACGATTAGGTTGTCCTGGATATGCCGATCGATTTACTGATGAAGTTCAGTGTTTTTATAGTAGACGGCTGACCTGGAAACCTGGTTGGTTTTCCTTGAGTTTCTCAACCCTTCTGTAAACTTTAATCAGGCTTATAGAGTTACCGACATACTGAACCTTTGTTCTTTAGAAAATTTCAGTAGTTTGCACACTCTCTAACAACACAAAAATCGAATCACAGCTCCTAGCTCATTTTTACTGCATTAAACCAATATAGCACACGCAGGTATATTAAATACGATATGTCGTAGTATTTTCAATACTCACAACAGATTGAGAAAATTTTCTTTTCTGCATTCTTTATTACTTCAGTGGTATTTATATATTTCCGTATGTGTCCTGTTTCTAATATGTGTCGAGAAAAATTCGCGTCGGTTATTTCGTATGGCACGGACGTGTTCCTGGATTGTGCACTACAGAATCATAAAGGAACATACCCGACTGTCACTGATGTCCATTACTTCAGAGGTATCGAGTATAATAATGATTAAATAAAAAACACAGTTATTTACTTTATTTAGGATTTGTTTAACGACGCCTGTCAGTGGTTCAGATTATATACAGTCGAATGACAGGTAATTAATTAATTAATAAATGGTGAAGCACATGGATGGAATACACAGTAGGCTAATTTAAGAGATTGTTCCGACTTTTGCTTGGAGGGATTGAGAAAAATCACGTAAAACCTCGACCAAGATATCCTGTCTGTGGACCGAGATTCGAATCCAAATACAAAGGAAAATTTGGAAAAAAGGAAATGCTTTCAAAAGTGATCGGATAGTGGGGGTTCCGGAGAATTTGACGTAAATACGTCTTTACGGAAAGGAAGTTTATATATTGGCTTTATTCTAAATATTTCCTTTATACATGCTTTACAATTGAGATAAGTTGGATTAAGACATTGCTTAATCAACTTCAATTAGTTACGCTTAAAATGGGTCAGTGGTAGCTGAATGTAATATAAAGTAATGTATTGTAATGTAATGTAATATTTTATAGGTAACAACAATTCCGAGTAAACAGATAACGTTTCCTAGGTAACATAACAATGAAGTTACACTTTTTCGTTTCCTTTTTTCGTAACACTTTTTCGTAACACATTTTTGCCGAATGACACTGACCCTAAAATATAGACGTATTTACGTCAAAAAACAGTTTACAAGTTGCAGTTTTATGAAAAGCAAATAGGAATGTAAAGAAATAATAGGTAAAAGTAATTATTACTAATTTTATTACAGTTTTACGATATAGTCGTTGTACACGAAGAGCTGAAAGTATCAACAAAACCGAGTTTTTGCTTCGGAACGGGGAAATCAGAACCCATATCTTGGAAAGGAATAAGAAGAATTCATTATACACTTGTAGTTCTTTTAGTTATTATCATCGCTAAAGCACTCCCTGTAGAAGGTGTGTCCGAGCATGTCGTAATCTCCAAAATCACACAATGCTTCTGTTGACAGAAGAGGCTCGAAGTGATGCTGGCCCACACTCCAGCTGGGGGGTCCACAAGGGAGGTCATGCACTTCGCACAAGAGGCCCTGTCAGGTGAGCACAACGCCAAATCATATTAAGGGCTGCAAATTTGCAAAATTTTGAAACCTATAAATATAGTCTGTACTAATATAATTCCTGTAGAATTTTTGTCCCCTTGCAGTAGTGCCAAACTTCGAAGAAGACGATTTCTTTCACTTTTTGCGGTGTAAGACCGAGACATGTTTATTCCAAATTAACTTTTTATTAAGCTATAATTAACTGAGGAAATTCGTAGAACAACAATAGTAGCAGAAAACAGGCAATTTTTAGATTAAGATGTTAATCCTCCATTCATAAGGGATAATATCATTCCAGATGAAAATGATATCAATCTAGAAGAAAAGGAGTAGTTTGTGTTTATCTGCCTGTATATACCATTGCGGACTCCCCAAATGCTTGCTTTAGCATTTCATAGGTTTCCGTAGCCGTTTTGGCGAGTCTTTGGCAAAATTTGATGCACACGCCATTCCGAAATCGCAGGAGGGTCGGTGTAATGCACTACCAAAACGCCCGTAACTAAGAAACAAATGCTAATTCGATGATTCCGGCTGGCACACTGATTCACTATGAATGTAGGCCGCACCCCCTAGCGGCAGAAGCTCGTACTACATCCGGTTCGGCCTCTATTGACACAGTCTTGAAACTTTCCGATCGCACCTCGTATCTTCCAAGCGATAATATCTTACGTACATTTATCCTTGTCTTACAGTTTTAAAAGTAAATTAAATACATAACTATAACTGCATTCTTTTGTTGAAACACTTGTAAATGCTTTGATACAGAATAAGAATGTTAAGAAATGTTCACTGGTTCAGAAGCTGAAATGTTCTTTTATTTTTCCCAGAAAGTTTAACTTTGAATTTAAGTTGATTTTCCCATTAATAATTTAATTGTAAACTACACAGCTGTTACTGGTTAATTGCTCATTTACCAGAATAAAAGTTACTTTCTCTACCAGCTTCATTCGTGTAAATAGCACGGTTTTAGTGATGTAATCACTAAAGATGGATTTCAGTATTTTGTTCCTGTCATGCACTTGTGTGTCTTAGCGCGTACTAATAAAGTCAGCTGTACGTTCCACCATGTAATTCTTACGTGAATATTTTAAAATTACGTGTAATCGAACCCAAGACAGTTACAGTAAGTTTTAATATTTCATGTTTCAATTGTCTTAAAGAAATCTAAAGAGGGACGCAGATAACAAAATGTTATTCTCTAGTTAATGAAACAAAATTTTTCAGGCGAATTCCGTCAGTTCGATTTCGGTGAGGAGAAGAACATGGATCTGTACGGACAGGCCACTCCTCCGAGGTACAATATGAGTCTGATCACAACCCCCGTCGCCTTGTTCTACAGTGATAATGACAAGCTTGCGCCAGAATACGTAAGACAGTTTTATTTATATTTCTTAAGATATGTTACGCCTCACAGGAATCAGGATGGCTGGAAATGTAACTTCGACTAGGCGAAATGAGATATACAGCGGATTCGCTGACACAGTTACTCCTAAGATCACAAATTACAAAATACATTTCCTAATAATAACACGCGGTACAAAACAATGAATCTTTAGAACTGCTGAATAATTGTGGACTTCAATCTGTTCCCTACTTAACGTCGTCAGCAGTTGACGTATTTCTCCTACTGACGTGATGAGTCAATCTCGGGAAGCCTTGAGGTAACTCAAGGTCCCATTTGCTTTAAGAATCAAGAACTCCGCGTAGTTTTTAAATTCAGTATTCAAATGATTCTCAGTGGAAACCGAGTATTTTTTTAAACAACGTCACAAAATTCACCTTTGCAATGGTGAAGTGATGTGTTTTCTTTGCCGTACGGACTGAATTATAGAATGTTATTAGGCGAACGTCCGCTTTAAAGGGCTAGTAGCATCTGCAGGTTCAAATATAAGTCTCCCGACGCGGCGTCTTTACCTGAAAAAACAAGTTTCCACAAGAGGATGAGACAACGAAGTGCATAACAGCCAAGAGTCATGACAGCGCATGAAACCATCGTATTTCTCAACTTGCAGCACATTCTAATACCGACAACGCACACGCAAGCTATATTACAACAACATTTACGTTGCTGAAGATGACTGCCTTCGGGGTTGTTGCACCGTGTGGTCTGGAAGACGTTTACCGATGTTTCAGAGGTTATTGATGCCTCCATCATCAGATGATACAGGCAGCAAGCACCCCTAAAACATCTGTATGTGAACTTCTACCAGATTGCACGATTCTACAATCCAGAAGACATCCATCTTCAGACTCACCGTAATGAGAACCTCAAATCCTTCATTTACGTTACTTTACGTTTATCCCAAAGAATCGATAAACTAAAAAACTTATCGCTTTATTGTGTTAGCAATAATAGCAAAGGAAGTTGTATAAAAACTACTGGTTTATTAGAATATCTATCCGTAAAACAATAATTATGCTATTATTTTAATTGTTCTCGGTGATAATTTCTGTTTCAGAATGTGAATAAGGTCTACAACGCCTTACCTAATGTAATCGGAAAATTCCGAGTTCCCCTGAAAACGTTCAACCACCTAGACTTTATGTGGGGCAAAGACGCCAAAACCCTAGTCTTTAAAGACGTGTTGACTATCATGAAGAAATACGAAAAAGATTCAAAAACATAATAATAATCCACATGTACCTCAATTGCTGCTGAATATAATATTCTATATCTTGACTTTACATAGAATATAGATTCAGATTCCTTTATTAAGATCATAGAGCGTATGAAAGACTACGTAAAAGTTGACTAACGTCTGTTTTAAAGCGAATTTTCTCTAGTCCTTTTCATTTGGCCCGGAAAAGAAACACTGAAATCACCATCGCATCCTTTGCACCGAAGTGAACTAAATTTCGTCGAGGGCAAACAAATAGAGAACCAAACTTCGTCAGTCTCCGAAGGTACAAGAATAACGATAGTGTGGTCTATTTTAAAGCAGGATCGTTCGTTATTTAAATTATTTGGAGCTGGATACGAAGATTGCAAACAACGTTGAGATTCCAGGTTTATAATATATTTATGTATTAAAAATTACATAATGTACCAGATTGTAATTAAAATTATTGTGTATATCCCTCACATAATCAGTGAATTATCAATATTTATTCTTGGTCCTTGAACCCCACATATCATAACTTTCTCCACTCTCACCAATAAAACCTTTTATCAGAGTCTTCAAACATGATCTTTCTCAACATCAGCACTCAACTACGAGGCTCGTCCAGAAAGTAAGTTTCCCTGGGGCCGTTTACAGAAACAAAACACAATTTCATGGAAATATTTATTGCAACAGATACAGCAAGTGTCCAGCTATTTTTCAACATATTCGCCACCGGAATTGAGACATTTGTCATACCGTGGGACCAACTTTTGAACACCTGTGTCGTAGAAGTCTGCCGCCTGGGATTGGAACCACTGTGTGACAGCCATCTCCGCCTCTCTGTCATTCTCAAAACGCTGACGCTGACGCTGACCGGACAGGAATTTCTTGAGGTGTAGGAAAAGATGGAAATCACTGGGAGCGAGGTCCGGGCTGTAGGGTGGATGATTAAACACCTCCCAGCTGAACTCCTGCAGGAGACTTGCTGTCTGTCGAGCCGTGTGCGGCCTAGCGTTATCACTGACCGCACTTCACAGTCGGCGGGAGCTGGAATAAGAACCTCCATCTTCAACAGCTGCAACGATGCTACTGTGAGAACGCGGGAAGTGCCGTTAGTGCATGAGCCATGCTACGTCATTGCTCTATCACGTACGCACAGTCGCTTCGCGCAATATAAGGTTTGCTAGCTGTGGGACGAGTGGGAAACTTACTTTTGGGACGCGCCTCGTACCTCGAATTCAGATCTATTAATATATTCACACCGAAAAAATTACAATAATAATCAATCTCTTATCGTTTATGTTATACCTTCATTTTTATCGCGTTGGCATTTTAATTTTTATTCGTTTGCATGCATTCATATCATCAGGGCGAAGATATCCATCTTCACCGCCATGAAAACGTCAGATCCTAACTAAAACTTAATTTTCTTAGATTACGCCTGTACGTTTAAAACGAACATTTGCAATAAAGGACCGATAAAAAATCTCAAACACAAAGACTAGTACGCCAAAAACATTGCCTATTCCGTACAAGAAAATCGCACCTTGAATATGTACTTTTGAAAGCGCGGAGTAACCATCATCTGCAGCGATCTCTGATATCTTATGCGCACTCAACTTCGCCCAGTATATTTCATTATTATACCACAAGTCCAAGAGACCCGCTTGCATTGCGTGGGCAATTATGTCGTTGAAGCGATCTAAGAACGGGCTTCCCTTTGTCAGGTACATCGCAATATTGTACTGAACAAAATCTTCATTAAAAGGCTGAATGAGAGAGTCACCATTCGCATCTTGAAATTTGTAATAACTAGTGTAGTCCATTACTTGACGTGAGAGAAAATGTGCAAAATCTCCTTTAACAGCGACTCTTTCAAGACAAGCGGTCGTGTTTAAACATATCTTATGGTTATGGAGTATCTCTCTGTGCTTCTCGTTGTCCGAATCCAAATAACGATCCATAAGTGGATGATATCCGTACTCTATCCCAGAGTCCAAAAGTTCGTCCAAATTCATTATTGGAGGCAAGAGGCCAGGATCTATTAAAAAACTTGTTAAGAAAGCCTGAAACACAGTGTTCACTGCAAGACAATATATCACCCAGAATATGAAGAATATTCGAATATGCAGGCATCTTGGCATTTCAGGCACGGATATACCCAAAATAACAGCCCAGGCGTCAAATATGTTGGCAGACATGGTCCGTTTAGCGTCCTCCCTGTTAATAGGCGTTCTTGACAGACGCCACATAATGACAGATGCAAGTAAAATAGTCACAATGATGCACAGCCATGCGAAAAGTTTAAACACCCTGAAGACGCTCAGCCACCGGGGAAATGTTTCTGGGTGTGGAACGACCCACACAAATCCACCTCTCATGTACGTAACTGTAGGATCCATTACTACAGAATTTTCACTCGTTACTACAATAGCACACAAGGCGACGTCGGATTTGCCATGAACAACATCTCCCCTTATTCCGGTCCAAGTACCATTTAGGAGATTCCTCCCCCATAATTCTCCGTTATCAGGTGGTGGGCGAAACACCAAAGATGCGTTAATGGCTGAGCCGATGAGTCGTAGGAGTCGAATTTCGAAACCGTCCTTGTAACGGAGGACTGTAGAGTTTTTATCATTTGGAATTACATCTGGATCAAGGACGAATGGCTCATATACGATAGTTGACACTGTAATGGGGCAGCCTTTTAGGTTGTGGGGCACTTTAGATGGGAACAGATGTCTGTTATGGAGGAAACGCGAAAAGCTTGACCACTGGTCTATTAGGAATACAGATTGCACCCTTTTCCAAAGATTAATTGACGTTTTGAATGGAGCGAAGGTAAATAAGTCTAAGACCGGGACTTCTTTGTGATCTTCCTGGATATGGCTTATTTGTTGAGAACGGAAAGGTTCCGATGTTGGAGTTACCACAACGACATTTAGAACTTTCCATGTCCAAAGTTCTTCCACAATATTCAGTGCTATTTCCTCAGTATCTGGACCACAATCTTCTGTTGTAACAACGACAATAAAGCGAGCTCGTGAATTCCAAGATGGCAGAAATGTGATTGATTGCATATTACCCCTCAATATTAATATAATTTCTTTCATTAAAAGTTTACACGTATCTCTCAGAATTATAACATAATTAGTTTCTTTTCTGTAGACATCAGATTTCAAGGATACTTTTGCCATTATGGAGGGTCGGATAACAGAAAGTGGTAAAGTTGTCAGTGCGTGTAGTTTAGGGAGTAACTTGTATGCCCCTTCGTTGGATTCTAAACTAAAATCATTTCTTGTGGCGTCTTCTAGAAACAAGGGAATGACCACAGTCAGAGAGTCGCTCCCGATAAAATACTGGCTGGCGATGCTTTGTATACAATCCACGGCGTGCTTTGTGTTGTCGAGATTTTCAGAGGTGATAACAGGAAATGAGAGACAAAGAACCACAGTTGCAGCTAGATGAATCTGAAAATGATACGACGCCATTAACGTCTGAACACACTCATAGACAAAACTGATATGTACGAGGCGCGTCCACAAAGTAAGTTTCCCACTCGTCCTACAGCTAGCAAACCTTATATTGCGCGAAGCGACTGTGCGTACGTGATAGAGCAATGACGTAGCATGGCGCATGCACTAACGGCACTTCCCGCGTTCTCACAGTAGCATCGTTGCAGCGGTTGAAGATGGAGGTTCTTATTCCAGCTCCCGCCGACTGTGAAGTGCGGTCAGGGATAACGCTAGGCCGCACACGGCTCGACGGACAGCGAGTCTCCTGCAGGAGTTCAGCTGGGAGGTGTTTAATCATTCACCCTACAGCCCGGACCTCGCTCCCAGTCATTTCCATCTTTTCCTACACCTCAAGAAATTCCTGTCCGGTCAGCGTCAGCGTTTTGAGAATGACAGAGAGGCGGAGATGGTTGTCACACAGTGGTTCCAATCCCAGGCGGCAGACTTCTACGACACAGGTATTCAAAAGTTGGTCCCACGGTATGACAAATGTCTCAATTCCGGTGGCGAATATGTTGAAAAATAGCTGGACACTTACTCTATCTGTTGCAATAAATATTTCCATGAAATTGTGTTTTGTTTCTGTAAACGGCCCCAGGGAAACTTACTTTGTGGACGAGCCTCGTAGTAGGAAGTGGAAGGATAGGGTTTAATATTTTCTTCGTCAATTGCTACATTCGCATTTCTCTCAGACGGCATTTGGGTCTGTCCATCACAAACTGACGCATTTGCGTTACGTTTCAGTAAATATTTTTTATTGAAATTCTGAATAAACCTTGCCGTAAAACATTGCTTCATATGATAATGTCGTTTAAAAATATAATTGCACAAAATATTAATAAAAGAAAAATATTAATATAATTTTAAATAGTTCTGCCAATCTGTTATAAATTGGTCGGGGGTTAACATACTACCTAACAAGTTTATACTAACAAATTAATGATTGCAATCATTTTGCAACTGTGTACGCAGTAATTTATTTAAATTTCTTCAAAAAAAATTACTCACTGACACATTAGAAAGATTTCCGGATGCAAGATTACGTATAAAATGTACTGGTTACATAAGTCTGATGGTCTTTAAAAATCTCAAATATGGAAGACTGGGTTTTAGTTAAAATTTTATTTATATGAAATTGGGGCATTAAGTTAGCTCTCTCACTGACTCGGAGGCTGAATTTGACATGAAACAGAAAATAGGACAACAGTGTGAATTTTAGCGTCATATTTTTACTCCTGCTTAAGCCCTGCTGAATGAGGGTACAGAAAGAATGTAGACGCAAACCCCCACGAATTGTAGACTTCAGAAATAGGTGGAGATCAACTATCAGCGTCACGCTCTGGCCGATTTACTCCTGGATAAACGCCCCCAGTCCATTCTTAAAAAGGCTCGGTCTAGACGTTGTGATGAAGGGAAATATTTCTGATGGCTCACGAACCCCGAAAATTCAACACGTGATCACTCACTCCACTGGATGAACTACACGGACTGCTTTCTGATAAATGCGACCTTACTTAAATTACATTTATAACTGTACTTACAATTGTTAGTAGTTAATGAGTGGATTAAAAATTTTTGTGATGCAAAATCTGACATCTTACATTTAAAGTAGCATATAAATTAAATAAATTAACAGAAACGAATGAAGGACACTTCGAAATGATTAATTCGAAACAGAAATTCGTAACTGCTATAATGCAAATATGTAACTCAAATACGACATTTATATTTACCTTTCTTGCAAAAAGTGAAATCATTCTTAAACCGATCTTCCTTGCAATATTTATGATGCCGTCAGTAGAAACTGTCCTCAATATGTACCGGACACTATTAGCTAAAAGCACAACTACTGCCTCTTACAACTGAGGTGGTCATAGGACACACAGTTGTACCTTACACGAATTACACAAAACACCTGAAATATTTGCTCTCCTCTAATTTCTGTTCGTCAGAGCCAATTGGCCGCATT